TCTATCTATCTATCTATCTATCTATTCTATCTATCTATCTATCTATCTATCTATCTATCTATCTATCTATCTATCTATCTATCTATCTGATTTTAATCAAAAGTGACAGCAAGTAAAATATGAAGTCAGTCTGTTTAATGCAAATAACACACACACACCACCAGTGAATGATGAAGCTGGTGATGCTCTGTATAGTCACTTACACCTTCTTCAGTCAGTAATCTACTGAAAATAAGACTGTAGTTTTAAAAAATGTAAATTTCCAAGAGGCAACCACACACACTGCACAGCTCTCTCGCCCATGTGGTGTCTTTAACCCCAGACTGCATGCAGGGGGAATTGGCTGGGTCTGTGTGTAATCTTGGGGCCCACCCGTGTATGGCATCAGTTTGGTGCGAGTGGCTGCTGAGATAGAGGAACATATGACGCTGTGGTTCTCTTCACTTCCTGTAAAGTTATGCTCAGCAGAAACAGCTACATGTGAAACACAGACAAACCCCGCACACTATTTCAGAGGAGTTAGAAAATGGATAATTTCTGAAGCACCTCATGGAGACTTTTCCCCCACTGAATGAGATGGCGTTATAGGTAAGGTCAATCACGTTTTGTTGCTTATTAAAGCCACAATTTGTCTTTGCATTATCTCGTGCATTTTCCCTCCACAGCGTCAATCAACACATCCCAGGGCCTAGTCTGTCTTTGATAACTCTGGTCAGCGTTAAAGGAGCTTTCTGACAAAATACAACCACAGTGCAACACCTACTATTACATTTACCATTACCATTACTACTAAAAGCACTACTGCTACTAGTATTACGAGAGCTAGTACTACTACTGTAGCTGCTTCTGCTGCAATTCATCCGCATGGTTCACAGAGAAAATGCATCTCTGTGCAAAGCAGAGCGTCTTAAATGTAAAAGATGCTGTTAAGGCTTCACATTCTGCTTTATTTTATGCATTCTGCTCACGTAGGACTGACTTTAAATATTTAGTTTAAAGTCTCTTGAGATTAAAATATCAGGCCAGTGTCAGAGAAATACATATTTATACTACCCAAGTATAAGAGCATATTTCAAACACTTATAGTGTTTATGTGAATATGAAGAAAAATATGAAATGTTATATCTTCAAATGAACCGTCTGAGTCATCATTTTGCACCTGCAGCACTTAAAAATTCTATTTTTCAGCTACCTAAAATATTTTATATGCATCAGTAAATTAATTTCATACTGTATAGTGCATCAACATAGCTAGTTATAATTCATCTCCTGATACATTGTAGTTATAGGCTCCTAATCATTCATTCTTTTGCCTGCTCTGTTTTTGCCACATAAAAACACTCAGAACCAGCTACTCCCTCCTGCCCTGCAGTTACTCCTCTACAACCATTCCCATCAACTGACCATCCCCTGCCCTCCTGCTAACCCTAACGCAGTCCTTGAGTTGTGCCAGTGGGTGCAAACCTGGTTTCCTGTCTTCACACAGCCATGGACGCCCTGACTATTAGGGGAATACAGGTCTCCCCAGTAAGAGACTTTGACCAAATGGTGGAGATCAGAGCCGAGAAACATGAACACCTACGAGGACGTAACAACGTGACTTCATGTCGCAGCCCTACAAGAGAGTTTAACACAAGACTGATAAAGAATGAACAGAAGGAAAAGAGGCATCTGGAATTTCTGAGGAGGAGATCAGTGAGCCCAGAGCTGTGTGGTGTGAAGCCAACAAACCGGTCTAAGAAGACGAAACATTCACCAGAGACATTTTCAATGAAACATCAATCATCATCAATCAGCAAGTCAGAGACACTGCATACAAATATCCAAAATACTTCCAAAGCTAATGGATATCCAGTGATTTTAACACCAAACAGCAACATAACTGATGGCCCAGGCAGCAGGAAATGGGTAAACACAACACACACTTTGATGTTATTAAGAGTGTTATTTCACCAGACCAGAGTTTCTTCTCCCCACGTCCACTGGGAATAACACCTGCATCCTCTTCTCTCCTCAGGCTTCATTATGGCCCGAACAGGTAACACTGATGAGGCAAGAGAAAGGCCATGTAAGGGTGCATGCATCTACCTCTTCGTCAGCTATACAGGAGTCAAACCAGCACTTTTTACTCTCTCACCAAACAGAAAAGATTCAACACAAATTCTCTGTCCAAACTGAAAATATTGTTAAAAAAAAGATACTGCGAGAGACCAGCGTGCAGACAGAGTGAGTTTAAATCTCCCTGAAACTGAATTAAAACATTTAATTTCAAGGTTTTATATCAGAGTCAGCTGTGATCAGTGTTTTATATTTCTAAAATGAGATATTTCCTTCTGTGCAGGTTGGGTCTTATCACTGTCAAGGAGTCAGTAAGTTTCAAACTGTTTGCTTTCTTCAGTCTCATTAAATCATTTGCATATTTAAAATGTTACCAAATTTAACTGAGTTTCTTGTCTCTCAACTCTCACATAATAGGATGTTCAGCGGTTAGCCGACTACTTGCAGGTAAAGTTTCCAAAGTGACACATTAGATTGATAATGTAACAACTTTACTTTATAATTCAGCCCACATTTTACAGTGTCATTTGACTGTGTGAATCAAGTGCTCATAAAATACTTACTGGTTCATACTGGTACTTAAAGGTACACATGAAGAAGACAAAACTATATTGAACAAGGAAGTAACAACTGTACAGATGAAATATACCCAATGTACCCAATATTTATTTTTGTAAACAATGGGTAAAAGCAAAGGGCAAACGTTGTGTTGTACTTTTACAATAAGGAACATCACCTACACTGAAGTCAGTCCAAACAACAGAATCTTGTAGGCCAAACCACCCGTGCAGTGAGCTATCAAAACTCTGAATTACATAAGAGCCTAATACCTGTTCAGGTTCTGCAGAATATCAGTGTTAAAGAGGCTGTTAGTGAAATTGGCCTCTTGGTTAACTTCCTGTTCGTCCTCCAGTCCCCTCCCTCTTCCTCCCGTTCTCTCGCCTGATTGCCGACTGGAGAAAGTGAGACAGGATACCACAAAATGTATTGTGTTTACTGCAGAGGGACAAGGACAATATCACAACAATATCCCTAACAGTAACTTTTAATATTTTTGTAAATAAAACTGAGGTTTGAGAAAATATTTAATTAATTTACAAAAATAACATAATTTATTTCTCTTTTCCTCTAAAATGTTACTTCCTTGTTCCCCATAATCCCCAAGTAACCACTAAGGCCATGGGCCATTTCTCCACTATCCCTCCCTCTGGCCCACAAGATATTTTTGGTTGTTTCATATAAATTTAAACTAACAATTCATTAACATTTAAAATAAAAACACAATTCTACTTTTAAAAATGTATTTTGTTTGGCTGAAGTCAAACGGGCCCACCAATGTGTGCGAAGGGTTGATAAGGAGAAAGCAGGCTTCAGGCCTTCTATAATGAGGATATAACATAATAATATAAAATGTATATAAACTGATATTTGCATAGTTTTTAAGTATGATTTGAGGAAATATTTTCATAATATTACCCTTTCTTGTAATACTTGACGCTGAAGTGGCCCTCCTATGAGATGACGATAGCACTGTGCTATCAAACACTACACTATTTAATTGGTATCTGATTCATACAACAAAACTACACTGTGAATGTATTAAGTGTTATCTTAAATTCATAAATAATACAATTCAGCATTTCTCAGCTAATCACACATTGGTTTCACTGATACAGCCTTACTTTGTCTGTAATGATACCTGTAACTTAGCAAACTGTATCTAGATTTCCTGCCATTACTGAAGTAAGTTGTGTGACTTTATGGTGCTTCTCTGCACCAAACAGTGGGAAGTCAAAATAGACTATTACCAATTCATTTGCACCCAGTACGTGAGAGCATTATTTATTTTAAATATGAGGTTAACACATTTAGCTACGCCCAGTAAGTATCTCTCTTCTTCTGTCTGTTTCCTGTCAGGAGGCTCTGTGGAGAGAGGAGGCAGTGAAGAAGAAGCTGGCAGCCCTCCAGGAGAGCACATCAAACCTTGTGAACTCCTCCAGCAAAATATGGACAGTAAGACTCTCCATCTGTATGCACACACTGTTTACTTAAATGCACCCCAAGTGTTCCAGTCTCCAAATACCAAACCCATATTTCTTGTTTTATGAGGCCGTGTTGTTGCTGTTCATTTCTCTTTGGCTGCCGGTTGATGTGACATTGAGAATGTGTTTGTCTCGGTCGTGTACACAGCAGTGTATGGCAGCTGCTACCTCAGGAAGGCCTGTGCAGTCTGTGGTTTGGAGCTTCCTGCTTCCGCTCCAGCCTATACCGCATAGGACGAGTGCAAGCTGTCAATCTTATACAGGAAGGGCGTGGTAGTCAGTAGCTTATAGGTGCTATGCATCCTCATTAGCTCTCTTTTGGCTTCTCAGACTGTAATGAATGAAGGGGAAATACTGGTGTTTCCCTTTTTTATTTTATAGTTTTTTAATTTGGGTTTGAAAAGCTGAGGATCTAGAAGTTAATTTAGTGTAAATAATTTATGTTTTTCATCTGTCTGTCTGTTGTTTCTCACTCAGGTATGTTATCATTAGGAAACTATTATTTTGCACACTTGCACATGCAGACATTGTGATCTGTCTTGAGGCTCACTGAAGTTCCCTTTGTGCACCAATGAGCGTGGGCAGTGACAGAACACGCTGTCACAGATTTTGGTACATGAAGCATTAATTTTCCATCTGCAGGTTACAGCGTGACAGTCAGTCATTTCCTTTCTCACCCACACAGGCTCACTGCAGTGAAGACCTACTGAGAAACAAGATCAAGGCTCTGGAGGCGCAGCTGCAAGTCTGCCTGCAGGTAAGAACAGAAGCTGGTGATACAGATGCAACCTGGTGATGATTTTTTAATCATGCAATGGGAGTTTTTTATGTTTGAGTTGTTTAATAGTTGTTATATAAAACAGCCCAAACATGTTGTCCTTTCTAAAACAGCCAACCCGCTCTACACTTTCAATCTCTCATTCAGTGATAGTGCAGTGTCTGAGCATGCTCATATGTGGTATTGGTTTGCATCTCACCACGTAAGCATTTGTAGGTTTAACTCAGCAGTGTCTGGTCCTTTATAGAAGTTTCCCAGGGATGGAGTGAAGAAACTGGTGCTACAGATGGAGAAGCAGAAACTGGCGTATGAGGAGAAGGCCTTGGTTGCCTTGCAAAAGGCAACACAGGACAAAACAGAGGCGCTCACCAAGGCTGAGACAATGCAGGTCAAATACCCAGCTTTTAACCTCTATCTCACTCTGGAGAAAGACACATCAACATCACTGACTTATTTGGGTTTTGCATTGATAGACGTGGGTTTTTTTGCCACCAGGAAGCGCTAATTACAGCAAAGGCAGAGGCACTGAGATGGCAGAGCCTTTATGATGATCTGAAGATGAACTGTGGACAACTGAGGGAGAACCAACTCCTCAGCAATGAACAGCTACAACAGCTGCACAGCCAAGTGGAGGTAAAGGATAGTCCGTGTCCTTGTTAGTTCAGGAGTTTTTGATTTGTAAATGGCTGTGAAAAACATATGTGTCCTCTGCAGCTGTCCAGAGCCAGAGAGGACGAGCTGAGGGAAGAGGTGGTGTCATTAAGACAAGAGAAGCAGGAGCTACAGTACAACATTTGCCTGCTGGAAGGGAAGAACCAGATGTTAAGAGAGGAAATTCAGCACCTTAAAGGCAAGACACTTAGACCTCAGAGTCGTTTCTTTCTTACTTTATCTGGCAGTAATTGTGAAACTAAACACCAAGTTCTCTTTGTCGCTTTTAAAATGACTGTAGAGGCATCATGGATCATTTATTTAAACTACTGTTTATTTCCTAGATTGCAGCAATGAGACTCAGGAGTTGATGGAGTCAGAGGAAGCAGAGCAACAACTGAGGAGAGACTCTCAGGTGGAGGAGCAGCTCCGTCACACTCAGGAGAAACTCCGACTCAAAGAGAGAGAGGTAAACTGGGGCTTTATCACAGTACACTGGGACACATTCACAAGCTTCATGTTTAATAATGACAGCTACAAAACCACAATGAAACCACAAGTGCAGAGACTGTTGCATAATGTTTGTTTTTAAATTGATAAAGATTTGTATCAGTTGTATCTCCATTCTGTGACCAAAGAAATCTTAAATAACTATCAAAAATATTATGATACTAATATTCATGAAGATGCTTTTAATATTACTTGTCCTCGTTTCTGGAGAACATTGTAGATGTAAAGGTGCAATCTCTTGCTTTACACACATGTTGGAAAAAAAATTATGCATTTTTAAAAAATGTAAATTGTAAGTATGTGTGTGTGTGTGTGCAGTGCGAGAGACAGGCAGAGACGGGCAGACAATAACACTGTCAGAAAAAAGACGAGCTGTGAGCGAAAAAGAGACGTGTGGGGAGGAGAGAGGTGTAAACGGCAGTGGTAGTTGAGAAGGGGAAATTAAAAAGGCAGAGGAGAGCTATCAGAGAGCCTTTTAATTAGCCATCCCGTTTATCACCGTCTGCAAACCTCGCCAAGGTACCGTCTGTTGTCGTGTCAGGAGAAAGTCGGAAAAGCACTTTTCTCTGAGGCAGCAGGCATGAAGGAGAGACAGGAGATGAAAGAGGACGAGATGAGCGAGAGACAAGGGAGGAAAGTTAAGAGAGAGAGAGAGAGAGAGAGATTCTAAGATCGTTGAAGTAGAGCTTGTTTATTATATAATAAACACTT